TTGGCAAATCTCAGGCCTCAACGTCATCTGCTCATTGTCCAACACAACTTCACTCCAGAGCTTCCACCGAAGGAGCCACCAATGGCTTCCTGGACACAGAGCCATGGAGTGCCCGGAAGAGTGGAGCAGGCGCTACCCAGGCCAAGCAGCCACTTCTGAAGGAAGAGGAGGCCCTTGCCTTCAAGAAAAAGACCCACCTGGGCGGGTTCGCTTGGTCTTTCCCCAGGAGAACGTCAAGCCCTCGCTTCTCAGGAGAGGACAGCCCCGATGAGTGAACAGACAGTCTCCAGCACTGCTTTGGTTTCTCCAGCAGGCACCTCTCCTTTGTCTGGGGTCCCTGGCTGAAGAAGAGCTATTAGACAAAGGTGAGTCAACAAGTATCGCTACAAAATCCTAGCATGCTTTACTTAAAACGAACAACAACATCAAATTGTGAAGCCATTGTCTCTCAACGTGGCCTCCACCTAGGTCTCCACTTTCTGAGAGTGGTGTCCCCATCTCTCTTCCCTCTCCCCCAAAGAACTCTGCACTCATTGACTGACCCCACACCAAGAGCGCCGCCTCGGCGTGCTCCAGGGATTCAAATCATGTTCCTCTCAATGGTCTTTGAATTTGAGGGACTAAAGGATGTCTGAAAGGGTCAAGAACCAGCTGGAGGGGGCATGCGGTAAAATGTCCCTAAGAACTCCTCTGAGGACGGCTCTTGCTGCCCTTCAGAAATGCCTGGGCGGTGAAATTCCTCCACACAGCTTTCCTGACCTTTGGCTCCTTGATTCCGTTTTCAATGTTCTTAGAATTCCTTACTCACAACCCCCATGATCATTCCATGCTCTTTGAGAAAGCCTCTCAAGATGGACTTTTGTATCCCCTCCAAAGAGAACCTCCGGAGCTGCCCTCTCTGCCTGGAATGTAACTGGCCCAGCAAAAGCTCCATAGAAGCCCTTTTGATTGGGACACACACCCCCCCAGAAGGCACCCTAATGAGACTGAGAACACCTGTCTGCAGCCATCCTCTGATCGCGGAGACATGTTCAAACACCTTTTGTTCAAAATAAACCCATGCGTGTCTGAACAGGAACCTTAGTAGCCCTTCTTTTGACTTGCCTCTTCTTGGCAGGCTCAGCAACCCTGGGAAGTGCGTGGATTCTCCTTCCTGGTGTGATGCAGGGACCATGGTGACCCTGAGGGCTCCAGGACTTGTCACAGGTCTTCTAGAGGCCGTGGTACCGGGCTGTCCTGTCCTTGGGCCCTGCCACCTTGCCCTCGGGACTCTCAGGGCATCAGAGTGGCAGTAAAAGAAGGTAAGAGTGGGACGCATGTGTCAACTCTCCTGCTGTTGGGGAGCACGGTAGGGACAGGGTTGCCCCTCTCCATGCCTGAAGGCCCCCTACAGGAGGTTGGAAGAGAATCAGGGAGCCCTTAGCCAGCCATAAAGACAAAATGGGTTGCCCCAACTAGGCCCAGGGGGGCTTATTTCAGCCAAAAGTCAACCAATACTTTCGACCATGCCTCCCAGCCTGAGGTCAAATACTTGACCGTGAGACCACAGGTCTCCTCTTTCTTTGCCCTTTGGCTCCTGTCCTGTGCCCGCTCAGCCGTGCAAGGTCTCCCTGGCCTCAGGCTACCATGTGTAAGTGTGCAGTCTCCCAAGGTTGCCCATGTTTGTGACTGTAAAAACTGAAACTTCTTCCATCCTTTATAAAAACTCATTTGGATCACAAAGCAGGATTCCGCGTGAATTCTTTCTTGTGCAAAGCTAAGAACCGAGGTATTTTTCACCCGAGAAACCTAACACTGCCACTTCAAAGCTTAAGGGAGTAAGTTTGGGACACTTATCTGTCCCTGCTGTCGGGGCAGCTGTACTAGGAAGGCAAGCAGGAGGTAGGAGCCCTTTGAAGGATGGATGACCAGCTGAGGGGAGAACTGCCCCTGCTCACCACCCTGTGTGCCTCGGAACGCTGACAGGCATGGCTACGGACATGGGCAAGTGCTCCGAGACCCTGGGACATGTGCACACCCTCACACACA